TGGTTTCAGTCTCCGCACACGCCAGAAAGGCCATCCTTGTCCTACCATGTCCTGCAAGGAGGCACACTGCCGTTGTCTGCTTATGTCTGCTTGCTCCGTGGGATTCTGTCTCCGGTTTCGGGCATCTGCGCGGGCATCCACATTCGGGCATGTTCGGGCGTTGGAATTTAGAGCAGCGGCCGCTCCGTCCCGAGTCCCCATAAACTCTTCGTATCCTGCCTGCAAAAGCTTCCCCAGTGTGCCATCGCCAGCCCCGAGGTCCGTGACGACTTTGCCGTCCGAGTATGGCAGGCAATGTTCTGCGATCCGCTGCCAAATGCCTAGAGTTAGGGTGCACAACTGTTGCTCCAGAGAGCTGCAAACAAAACGGTATCCCTGCCACGGCCAAGGCTGCCATGACACNNTCCCCTCCTTCGTACATGCGGCCCGATGTCTTGGCCTACATAACCCCTACGCGTGCTGCAGCCTGATTTTGTCAAGGGTCTCTGTTGAATTGCTTGCGATATGGTGCTTCCTTACCATTCCTTACCTCTCTCTCTCACCATCCTCCTGCGTCCAGTCCTGTTCGCTGGTGTAGTGTAGCTTGCTTGCAGACAAACCTTACGTGTCTGACTCACCAGCCCGGCGACTGTCTGACCAGCTCTCGTGGGACCAGAGCACACGAAGCCCCCCACTATGATCAACTCATAGCCCATACTTCCATCATGCAACGATGGCAGAAACGGCTGGTTGGGATGGTACATGCAAATGAGAATGATGTCGCCATGTTGTATGGAATCAACAAAAATTCGCGATAACGGGGTGGCTGCCATAATTCCGTACAAATTACACAGCAATTCATACAGTACTTCCTCATGGGGCCAGGATACTTTGCATGTGCCTCCGCCGTGTTCGTGTCCCACGCATTTTCCGAAGATCTGTGTAGAAATGCCGCCTCATGCAGCTCCAAACTCGGGAGTTTCGTAGCCTCCATAGTTGCAAGGCCCACCTCCGAGGGTTTTCGGGGGGATAAACGCAAATCATGGCAAAGCAAACCAGGAATCATCGCTTCATGCAGCGCGGACGCCTTGCCAGCTCTCACCGCAGGCAAATGCGTTGGTGCCCGGCACAGGCTTGAAAGATGAATTCGCCTCAATTCAGCCCTCATCTGAATGGCTCGCCATTCGAGCCGAGATTCCGCAACAAAGCCCATGCACACAAACCCAGGCGTTGGCACAGTCAGCAGTCATGGAAGCGTGCAGTCTGGCGATTCGTGATCTTGTGCACAGCTACTGCCGCTACCACCAAAGCCACCGCACCAGATTGACTCATATCTACCTGCTGCGAAGGGGTATATCAA